TAACCAAAATGTAGAGGCCCCGGGGCCCGCAGGTGGCATGGCGGTTAGGGCAAAATGGATGCCATGCGGCTGACTCCATGGTGCAAGGAGGGGGCTTGGCGGCCTGGAAATCACCCCGGGCGCGTGTAGGTACATGCCCAGAATCTTGAGCAGAAAAGGGAGGATTGGGATTGCAGTGTGGTCATCCCCCCAGGAGATTTCTCACTTTCACACCCTGTCCGTCTGTGAGTGCACGCGCCCTACGGCAAACAGTCTTAAAAACAAATCTGGATCACGCAAAGCTACATCCACGAAGGACAAGGCTTCCGGACAAAGCACTGACACTGCGTCCTCCTTCCCCAGGCCCTCCCGGGAAGAGCGACCGAGGACACCCGGCAATGGTCACAGGCAGTAATGCCAGATGGGGCAGCAGGGGCAGCAGCAGCAGCAGCAGCAGCGTTCACAGGGACCGGGACACGGCGCAACGGCGACGGTGCCGGACTCTGAGACCCAGCTGACTGTGCTTTGTCTGGGACCCAGTGGCTTGAAATTCACACTGGGCACATGTGCGTGCACACCCAAGATCCCGAGAGGGAAGTGGAGAAGGGATTCTGGCGTGGCCCTCCACTCTGGGGGGTGATTTCTCGCCGTCTCTCTGGTGAGTGTATGCACCCTACAGCAAAAATCTCTCAAAACAAAGAATCAGTGTTTGTACGGATGGAAGAGCTGTGCAAGCCAGGTGCTCGGGAGGAAGTGTGAAGCCCTACTATCACTGCTAACGCACAGGTCCTCAGACGCTGAGCGAACCCCAGTGCTTCACTCACCTTCAGTAGAGAGTACTGTGCGATCAGGCCGAACGGTCCTGTCAGGGACTCATCCCAGACTATTGCCTGTTAAGGGAAAAACGCTCTCTCAGTGCCCTTAATCTCAGCAGCTTCAAGATCAGCGGAAAACAGCAATCGTGCTGTTTAAAGTCTGAGCTAGCAAAAATGTTGTTGGTTCTCATCAACATGGCTCATATCCTAAGGAGCTAAAGAAAACACACTGGGACCAGCAGTTGGCGTAATGGCTATGTTGCTGGTCTCCCATGTAGTTGACCGCAGTTCGATTCCCAGATCTGGTGGCTTAAACTCACACTAGGTGCGTGTGCATGCGTGCCCAAGATCCCAAGAGGAAAATGGAGGAGAAGCGACTGTGACGTGGCCATCCCCCCTGTGGGGGTGATTTCTCGCTTTCCATCTCTCTCTGTCTTTCTGGTGAGCGCATACGCCCTATAGCAAAAACCTCACTTAAAAAAAACAAACAAAACACACACACACACACACACATACCAGGGGCAAATGGTGTCACTGTTGGTCACAGGAAAGTGAAATTAAGGGTCAATTGTCCTCAACATAAAAAGAAAACTACAATTCGCTGTGAATCTGTGTCAGGATATTAATTCTCAGATCCAGCCATATGAAAATTGCCAATTAGGCACCAGCAGGTGGAGTAAGGGTTACGTCACTGGACTCCCATAGTCAATTGCGGTTTGAGTCCCAGACCCGGAAGCTTAAAATTTACACCCGTGCCCAAAATCCTGAGAGGAGAATATAGAAGGGATTGCAGCATGGCCATCCCACCTGGGGGTGATTTCTCACTTTCTCTCTGGCGAGTGCATGTGCCCTATAGCAAAAATCGCTGGAGGAAGAAGGAAGGAAATAATTGCCAATTATATAAAAATAAAATGCATAATACAAGTTTTTAAATAAATCTTATTTTAAAGAGGGTATTTTTAAGAGTTCAGAAAGTTTAAGTAACTGTCCAAAGGCCACAGAGGAATCTTGGAACCTACAGCGTAGGTTAGAACTGCAACCAAGGACTCTGGGCCAGATGGTGGGAGAAGTTAGGGTGTCTGGCTCCCACATGGCTGACTGCACCATTGGAGTACTGAACCCTGTGGCTTGAAAACTACCTGGCACACGTGTATGTGTGCCCCCAGACCCCAAAGTCAAAGAGAAAGGACTGCAGCGTGGCCTGCAACCTTCCGACCGCTGCTCACACAGGTTAGGAGAGAAGTGGGTATTTGCCGTTTTGACGCGGCCTTCTAAAATATGATCGTTCCTCACATTACAGCAGAAAGCAATCCCACCTGGGAGGTGCTGGCTCACTTTCTACCACCCCTACCCCCAGCCCAGGGCACACACCTTACAGCAAATAAACCCTAAGACTTGCTGACACCGAAGTCCCTGCCCTGGGCCCCTAGTATTTCTACTGCTCAAGTCCAACATCACCCCTTTTTCTTTTTTAACGAAGACTTTATGGAAATGACTGTTGGTGAGGGTTCAGTTGTCAGAAATAACAGAGCTCTTTGTATGCTCCCATCTCCCCCAGTGGTAACATTTTGCAAAACTACGGTATGATATCAGGACCCTGACAGTGACACTCCTGTGGGGCACCTTCTCATTCAGATTTCAACTGTCACCGCAGTGTTAACAGGGTGGGCCCTGCCACTTGGCCGGCTTCCTTCACTCCATGGCTGCCAGTGCCCACCCTTCCTCTCGGTTCTCGTTCTGTCTGTCTGTCTGTCTGTCTGTCTGTCTCTCTCTCTCTCTCTCTCTCTCGGGTGGTTTCCTGAGGCTCTCCAGTTCTGCTTTCCTCTTGAGTTCTGTACTCCGGTTGCTAGGGGGCCTGATACATCCGAAGACAAGGGAAGAGGTCCACTTAAGTCGCATCAAGTCCGGGTCTCCAGTTCCCGACCCCCTTGCGGACGGGCTGCTGTAACACCAGACAATCCTATTCTAGGCGCCCAGGTTAAAACCGCAAATAGCGACTTCCCTGCGACCCCATGTGCGCAGAGGCAGCCGTCTTCCTTCACTCCATGGCTGCCAGTGCCCACCCTTCCTCTCGGTTCTCGTTCTGTCTGTCTGTCTGTCTGTCTGTCTGTCTCTCTCTCTCTCTCTCTCTCTCTCGGGTGGTTTCCTGAGGCTCTCCAGTTCTGCTTTCCTCTTGAGTTCTGTACTCCGGTTGCTAGGGGGCCTGATACATCCGAAGACAAGGGAAGAGGTCCACTTAAGTCGCATCAAGTCCGGGTCTCCAGTTCCCGACCCCCTTGCGGACGGGCTGCTGTAACACCAGACAATCCTATTCTAGGCGCCCAGGTTAAAACCGCAAATAGCGACTTCCCTGCGACCCCATGTGCGCAGAGGCAGTCGGGCGTTGAGAACACAATTCGCAGCGACACGAACGAGCGGACACTGAGTGGAACTGGGCGGGGGCACCAGATGTGCCTGCGCAGCCCGGGAGGGTGCAGCCTGGGTGGGCACCGCCG